GTCTACTACTCCTCCCATCCATCCTTAAGATCATTTTCTCTTTCAACCCCGAAAACAAGTAATTGAGTAGGATGGCAATAATGAGGCAGATTCTGGGAGAGTTTTATAACAAAAGGGAATTTGATCCCCTGTTTCTAGTTTCTGCTACAAGTTAGAGATCATCGATTCTACACACCACCATCAGTATTCAGTAAAGTGAATTTCTTTCTGGAGTAGCATTGCGTGGTGAAATGGCAATGATGGATAAAACTATCCGGCTGATAAGTACGACAACGCAAGTACTAATAGTCTGGTTAACCAATATTATTTTACTATCTACTAACCATTAAATTTTATATATTATTAGACGATGTTACATTATATATGTATACAATGTGAAAATGCACTTATACAAATATAACATTATCGGCTCTTAACACAGAATAGATGAATAACAAAAGTCATAAGTTTGTGAAGTGATCTTTTTTTCTTTTGAAGAAATACCATTTAATGGTTTTCTTTCTTTAAAAGACTATTTTTAGTCTTTAAGATGACATTTCGTGTTATTGATTTATTTCAAATAGTTGCCTTTCGTTATCTGGAAACTGGAACAGAAGAAACGGTCAAAAAGACACATAAATTTCTTGAAAATCGACATTATAAAATAATAGTATATATCTCTCGCTTCCATTCTCCATTCTAAGAACTACACGTCTGAACTCTTGGGGAGAAGAGTGACTGAGAAGAGCAGCCGGTGTTGGTGTTCCTTCCTACATGGTGTGTTATTGATTGAACTAGCAGGAACCGTGCGATATCAAGTGAAGGCCAAACAATAGAAACACATACTATTAATTATTTATATTTTGGGTTCGATTACAATATGGGAAAGATATGATATTTGAAAATTTTTTGACCAATCAATTGGTATCGTAAATACGGTAGCCAATTAGGTGTTATTTATCAAATTTTATGGGTGGATTTTGATTGATCAACACTCTTTCAATATCATATATTTCCTGCATTTACATTTTTTCTTATATTTTATATACTACTTTTAATAATTCTTTTACAATACAAAAATAATAACAATTAATTTCAGCTAGGGTTGTCCATCAAATTGATGAAACCGACCAACTTGAACCGACTTAGTTGGTTTTCTAATATTTCCGATCAGCTTTGGTTCAACAATTTTCCAACTGACCAGGTTGGATCAGTTTCGCTTTAGCTACTGAAAAATTTCTCATATTTTTTATTCTAAAATATTTTATATCATAAATTTAATTTTTAAATTTATTATTTAATAATACCATTGTAATTTTTTAAATTTAAATTTATTTTTTTAATTTAAATATTTTGAATCAACCAACCAAACAAAAAAAATGACCCAAAATGATACAATCCAAATTGTCCAGTTTTCACTAATGATTAGTTAGATTCGAGTGACCAACTCCCCAACCTGAGCAGGTTGATTTGGTTGGCCAAACCACCTACAAACAAACAGAACCAACCCATGAACACCTCCTAATTTCAACTAAATTAATAGTTTAATATGTCTAATAAATACTAATAGTTTAATATCCAAAAATTATTGAAAATTTATAGAAAAATACATAATTATTGAAAGATATATTGATAATGAAATTATAATAAATACTAAAAAATATATTAAATTAGTCAATAAATAGTGTAATCTCAAATAATAGTTTAATCTCTAATAAATATTAATCAATAAATTATAACAAAAATACAATAAGTACAATAAATTAAACAATAGTAGTTTAATTTGCAATAATTATTGAAAATTTTCTATTAAATAAAAAACAAAAATAGGTTTATACATAATTATTGAAAATATATTTATCACCAAAAACAATAAATAAATAATTAAAATGCAATAACTATTAATTTTAGTACATATTAATATATAATAAATATAGATTATGATTTTAAAATCATTATTAACAAATATTAATTTTTTGAACGTTATTTTCTAAAATTGTTAATTAAAATAAGTGGAATTAGTTATTTACAATATTATTTAGTTATTTAAATGATATCATTATTTAAATTTGAAAATATTAATTATTTATTGAATTTCATAATCCATAAAATTATAATTTATACTATTACTACATAATGTCATTATTAATATTATTAATTTGAATATTGTGTTATAATGATTTTTCCAGTTTTAAGAAATTTTTTAAATTTATTACATAATTTCATTATTTTAACTATTTAAAATTTAGTTATGTTATATTTCTTTATTAAAAATATTTAGTTATTTAAATATTTAAATAATATATAAAATATTTAACATTTTTCGTTATTTGAACTTTATTTCTATTAAAGTTATTACATAATATTAAATATTTTGTTATATAATCTAGCTATTTTTAATATTTTTTATTTAAGATATTTAGTTCTTGAAATATTTAAATAATATTTAATTTTTTACTATTAAATTTTTAATATTTGAATACCATTTAAATTGAATAATCTAGAAAACCCTAATTTATATTGTTAGTACATAATTTTGTGATGCATTTTGTAAACAAAAAATATTAATGATATGAAAATGATTAAATCAATTATAATTATTTAATAAATATTTTAAAATTATTATATATATATTTTTAGAATTTTTAAATAACTTTTAATTGAAACTTTCTTTACATAGATATACATAAAAAGTGGGGAGAGAATAAATAAGAATTAGAGATAATTTAGGAGAAAGTGGAGGATAATGGGAGAAGTAATTTAGGAGATGATATTATTTAGGTTATTGGGAACGTGTGTGGGAGAGAGATTTTAGGTAATTTTTTTGTGGGGAAGGAGAACATCTCATTGGTTGTTTAAAAATGACATGAAATAAAAAATAAATAAATAATTCAAAAAAAGGAAAAAATTTCTAGACTGTTGTGTTTTAGTATATATACTTGCGGAAGGGTTAGCATGGGCCAAAAGACTATCAATGAGTAGTTATTTATGTATAACTAATCAAAGTGATTTTTTTATAAAAAAGTGTGGATTTATAGTTAAATTTTCAAAGAAAATTTTTAATTTTTGAATTCATCCATTTGTAACAACTGGTTGGACTTGTGTTCTTTTAATCTTTTTCTCCTGAAGTAGCCACAAATTGATACATAATGATAAAATTGTTACAAATTGATATAGAGGTACGTAAAGATCAAGTTTTGATGGTAGTATACTTCCACCTCAAACCTTCAAACATAAAAAAAGAAAGTGAATGAAAAGTTGGATATCTAGATAGAAATACATCAACATCAATTTCTGATAATGGTTCACTCAGATTTCCTTAATTTCTTTCTACATCACCATAGTAATCTTCTTGGCAAGCACAAAAGCCACCTGATCTTTCACCAACCAAATCATATTTGCTCTCATCTATTCTCGTCCTTTTTACTTACCAAGCTGCATGTATGATTTCGTAACAAAATGCAATATAGCAGACATAACAATGGTACCACATTGCAAGAAGGGAAAAAATACAGCTTGGTGGTTGTCTTAGTCTCCAACTTAGAGGTCTTGATTAATCTATCTAGAAGTGTACAATAACATACTAAACGAAATTGTAGTTCATATCATTCCATGAGAAATGGACAAATGAGCTACAAAAGTAGGATAGCTAACCATGAAATGACGTTCTTACAAATTTTGCTTAAAAACAGAAGTGTTGCTTTACATGTATGGTTCTCCAAAATCCAAATGCATGGTACTTACAATCTTTGATTAATCATGAAATTTTCTTTCACGGAGAAGATAATAAAAAGACGTAACCTATTATCTATTAGACCGAGTGGCCTATGGCCCTCGATATAATCCTCGATGTGTAGGACTATCTGTAGGCCAACGGGAATAACCACACGATCGATGGAGTATTTATTTTCCTATAAATAAAATCTGTTTTGATTTATCTCTTTTTTAGACTTCGTCCACTAGAGTAGTTGTTAGTTGAGAAAATGTCTCAACAACCAGGGGCAAGTGTCTCATCCTAGTGGAGGCTAATCCCAACTGTAGAGATTTGTGGGTACTTCTCATTCATTGGAACAAACCCAACAGTCATAAAAGGGTATATAAATAGAACACAAAATACTTAGGAGTGTACTTGAACTACTCAGAACATTCTCCCTCTCAGTATCACACTCTTTCTTAATTATTAGCAATTCTAGTTGTGATAGAAAATTGCCTCCACTTTAGGTTATTGAAGAAGCTTGGGCCCCATGTCCAAACTTGGCAAGAGTTCCTGGATTATCACATTGTATCATCACCGACTTTCATTATCAAATCAAAAATTTATTGTAAACTAGTGATTTTCCTCAAGAAAGTAACATTTTCATTTAAAAATTGGCAAGGTAGAAAAGAGAATTCAAAACAAAGCCATAATATAGGTATGGAAGTCTAGTAGATCAGTGAAGAAGTGTTACCCTTGGAACTACTACCTGAAAAATAAAATCCATATAGGCAATAGAAGACATATTTGTAAAATGGAAAAGAGAACTATGGAAATTTAGATAAAACGTAGAGAAAAATAAGACCAAATGAAATTGCCACTAATATTGCAAAAAGAATAAACTCAACCAACAATAACTGGTCCTTTCTGTAACAAATGAATACTATGAAAAAAAAAACAAAGTTGTGCCACACCAAGCATATAGATATCCAAACCAATAAACAAAGGGTCTCCAACCAATACTCTGAATAATGAAAAAAGATATTTCAACAAAGGAAAACTTACAAGTCCCGGGTACAGATATGCACATGGAAACAAATACAGGAAAAGGGATTTGGACTCTCCATTTCCTAAAATCTTGGTCACATATGGGTATGTCTATCTCATGTACTATGCTTATCTCTACATTTAAAGCTGAAGCTCATTTTTCAAAACTTTCGTCAAATTTAATTGAATTTCTAACATGTAGAGGTCTTTTTAATAGTATAATTTATTAAAATACACCATTTTACACATTTTAAAAGTATAAAGGCTATAAAGTATGTCTTGAAGCATCCATCCAGTATCCAGTATCATATCCAACACCAGTACGCTAGGCTTTTATGGGTATCTCTGCGTATCATTGTTGAAAACCTGTTAAAAGAGCACAAACTTCCACATTGTCAAGTCTGTAAATCCAATGGAATCATTAAATATACAAAACATCACTTTTAGATGAGATACAACTGAGAAATGGGCCCAAATTATGTGAGCCCCATTTGTAGGTCCCAATTGCTGAGCCCAAATGTTGGCTTGCCCTTTTCTAAAGTGGAACCTTTCTCTGAAAACAAGTAAAATTTTCTCCCACACGAATCAGTTTTAGTAAAATAGTGGTTCCAAGAGTAACATGTTACCTCCTAATCTAAGTAAAATGGTGTCCAATTAATAACTGGAAAACCAAACTAAATGTAAAATTTTACCTGACTTCCATTTTACTCAAAAACAAAGTGAGTTGAGCCAAAAGAAAAATATGGCATTTTGATACTCAAAATCCATATATGATTCATTGAAAGGATAACAATTGGTGAGCCGTGGACATAATTTCTAAGCGATGCATCAAACATAAAACATCCAGAAGTGGAGTTCAACTAAAAGGAAAAGAAAATATAGAACTTATAACCACGTCTATTTTCTTTATTGGTAGGTTGTGCAGGGAATCAATATGAGAAATGATTCTTACAAAAAATGGCACAAAATAATGTAGATAATTACCTAATAATGATGGAAGTGCCAAATCTACACCAAGAAGGTCTTGAAGAAAATCACCAACAGAAGAACTAGGTGCAAGGGTATCATCTAAACTTAGGTCAAGTAAATCAACAAGAGGCGCTACAGCAGGTTTGGCAACTCCATTAGAAGATTAAGTGAAGCTACCTTGGAGGTTGAAGCAGTTATTGGCAATGAACCAACTCTCATTCCACTATAAGTTGCTTCATCCAGAACCGGCATTCGTTCAACCAAAGCAAAGCTGCACATATTCATACAGCAGCTTCTCTAAGCAATGAATTATAACATTGCTCATCTCAAGAAAAGCAGAAACCCCAAGGGAACAATAATCCAGGTAGGGAGAATTGCATGGATTCTTTTATGTTTAGAGATATATTAGCAAAAAGCTTACCTGTAGTCACACACTATAAATGCCCTTCACTTAAAGCAGTTTGCATTTGTTTAACCTACAAAACAGATAAGATGGTACATTTTAGTGAAGAAAAGATATGATATGGAAAGAGTTTTGACCGATCAAAACTCACCCATGAATTTTGATAAATAACACCTGATTCTCTACCACATTTATGATTCCAGTTTATTGCTCAGTTGTTTTTCGGATATCATATCTTTTCCATATCATAGTCGAACCCATAGCAAAAATACTACAACAAACATTAAACAAAAAGATCAAGATATAAAACAACTAACCTAAAAAAAAAAAGAAAAAAAAAACAAACACAACAACGATACCCTCAGCAAAATTCTCTTAAAGGGAATGTTAGAAAAGAGACAAGTTTGAACATATGCCCTACTGCAATTCTACCATAATACCATTTTTTATCAATATTCTACCACAATACCATTCCATCAAAAGCATTCAAGTCTCTGCAAACAACTAACAAGTTTTGCTCATTTTCCCTCTATTAGTAAGCTACCAAGCAATTTTAACTTCTTATTTGATGGATGCCACTAAAAACTTTCAATTGCTAATATGCCACATGAAGGGAACATCAAACCTGCCGTAGGCCACCTATGTTTCCAAGAGTACCATATCACCGGGAACCTATCCAAGAAAACCACTGCTGTAGACCATAGATCGAGAAAGAATATGTTCCTGCAAATACAAACCATGACAAGCGGTTAACCAGTTAACTGGTCTTTGGTTTTCATTTTTATTAAAAAAATGTTTCTTATCTAAAATGACAAAAATAGCAAAAGAAAAAACCTGAAAAAAGAAACAATGTTTATTAAATTTCAAAGTAAAAACATGTTTTATTCAAAGTAAAACAAGGCCCAAAAAATATGTTCAAGAACTTGTTTTCTTCAAAGTAAAAACACAAAGCTTGTTCTATTTATTTTGAGAAAACATATGTTCAAGAACTTGTTTTCTTACTAATGTGGAAATTTCAAAAACAAAAATATACAAAGCAACTGTTAAACTATTTAGCTAAAAAAATTTAGTAAGACTATAGGGAAAATTCTCCATAGGTTAGGCCCAGTACTAATTTAATATCCAAACTTTAAAACAGAACAATCTATTATCTGAACTTTCCAAATGCAACAATCTAGTACCTATAGAATAGCACGTGAAAAGATAAAACTATCCTTCAAATATCATCTAATTTTGTTTATCAACCTATACGTAAAATCAAAACCAACCCTACGAACATCATATTCACACATGATCACTCCCGGGACGAACCATGTCCATGTCTCCCTTGAGAAACTTCTGAATTTTTCACCACCGTCTTGGGAACCATGTAGTGCGGCAACCGACCACGGCAATATTCTATGATCTCCTTCTCCGACGGCCTCGGCATCTGCCGTTTCAAGCTTATAAAAGCGCATGGAGTCTCACCCCAGAACTCGTCCGGCTGAGCTCTACCACCGCCACTTCCTTGATAGCTGGATTCGAGTACAGCATTGATTCCACCTTCACGCTGCTCAGGTTCTTACCGCCGCTTATGATCACGTCCTTAGACCGGTCTTTGATCTCCAAGTACCCATCTGGATGTATCACGCCCACGTCGCCCGTGTATAACCAGCCCTTGTCACTCATGCAGTTTGACGTCTCAGCCGGATCTTTCAGGTAACCCAGCATGACACTCTGCCACCTCGCAAGACGATCTCGCCGAGTGATGACCCGTCTCGTTTCACACTCGCACTCGACTCGGGATCTAGTTAATAGTGTGTACATGGATGGGAGGGACAGAGGGAGAAGAAGTTGGGCTAGGGGCGTCTTCTAGTTCTAGCTAGTAGTCCTAGTACTCCCATAAGAATGGCTCCTCCATCTGGAATAATTCGAAGTCGGCTTCTCTTGGCGAAAGCAAAGGCGAACAGAAGCCAAACCTGTTGATTTGATTTCTGATGAGGTCCAGTAATAGGTCGGGCAGGTCGAAGCCAAACCTTTGCTGACAACAGATAAAACAGACATAAAAACCGCACCAGAAATGGCCACCAGAAGTAGCATTCCAACCCTCCTTCTGCCAGCAAATTTGCAGATCTGATGAAGAAACTTTTCCTTCTCTCTTGACCCAGACAGGAGCATCTTTGGGGGCTTGCGAACAAGGATGGGTGTAGTCTAAACCGGCAGCACATCACTGTTCTGAAGTTGTTGCAATGATCCATAACTCCCTGTACGTAGACCCAATGACCCTCCAGTCATTGTCCCTCCAAAGCCACAGGTTTATCTTTCATTTCCCTTCTCTTCCAGAATCCTCTCTCATTCAAAGTTTTCAATCCTTTTCTACATAGAACAGAATCAATTCCCGAATCACCACCAAATAAAGATCCAACTTAACAAACTTCCACCAAAGTCCCGATGCGGACCAATTTATTGATTCCAATAAATCTCAGAATCTATCCATACTTCAAAATACAATTACAAATTAAAGCACTCCTATAAATCCAAATCATCCTTGAAATCTCTTCTACCATTGTACATGCACCCACCTCCGCTAGAATTCCAAAGCTTCCTCGGACAAAATTCAAATATAGTATGAATTTTACTAAAAAAATAAAAAGTTCCTCATTTTCTTCTCCAAGCCTACCAAAACCAACTTTCCCGTAACAGCATTATCAAAAAATAAACCGATACAAGCATACCAAGAACAAAACTAATCCTCCACTCGAGAAAACTAATCCGAATTCCTATTAAATCGATCTATAACAACCAATTAACACTCCATCTCACTAGAAGCAGGATGTTTCATCAAAATTAAATTTGCAAAGCACCACTACAAATTCAAATCTGCCCAGAACTCCCAAGCCGAACCAAAAGAATTAACTCAACTCTTATGGATCGATCCCAGCCAGCAAAACAATCTTCAGTCTCACTCTAAAAAACAAAGGAGTAAAAAATTAAAGATTATCTATCTCCTCCACCGATATGCAGCAACAGCAGAAATCGAGATGAACCATTGTTACCTTTTGGTCTTCCGTTACAATCCCTGATCAAATTGTAGGGCCTCCGCTGAATCAAGGGTGTTCGATTAGTTCTGCCCTGCTTTCAGCTCTGTGTGGTGTCTCGCCAAATCTGAGATCATGGAGAATTCTTTGCTCGCAGTGTGAGAAGAAGAAGAGAAAGAAGAGGTGGTGCAGGAGGTAGAAGAAGAAGAGGAGCTTTGACCCTTAGATCCCATGATGGGCGGTTCTTGCATGTGATCAGAGTGGAATATATCATCTACATACGGTGTAGCAGATCCGGACTCTGATAGAAGTTTGGGTTTTTCACTTCCTTTATTATTTTGGGCTCTTGGAGGATAGCAAGAGGCGAACAAACTCTTGGTTTTCATCCCTTTGGAATCTATTTTATTTTCGTGAGAAAGAAGATAATGAATAGTATTTTATTCTAAGGATAATTTTGACATTTTCAAAAATTTTAAGTTGCAGGTCACGTGATATACATAACTGACGGTTCATTACTAAATTGGCTATCGACCTAAATTACAGGGTACTACCTATCGAGAATTTTCCCAGGTATCATTCGTATTTTAAACAAATTTCATAACAAGTATCATTCATATGAACTATTTTAACTAAAAAAATTATTTACTTGCAACTATTGGACTGTACAAGGGAGAAGAAAACCAAAGATTCAGATTTGGATTTCGGAGGAGAAGAATGGGGGAGAAAGAGAATCGGCTGACAGCAATGGCAATAGCAACGGGGAGAAAGAGAACTGACCAATGGACGACGGTGATGGGAGAGGAGAAATCAATCGACGGTTGGTTGCACGAGCTAGGGTTTCTGTCTGTTCTTGTTTTCTTTCAAAAACAAGATAGAGGGTTCTGGCATTTGGCTTGGGTTCAAGTGTTTGATCATTCAATCAATATTCTTTCATTTTCTTTGGGCTTGGGCTGCTTGGCCACTTGGACATGTCACACGTAGAAGTGTGGCCGATTGAGAGAGGGGTGCTGGGGTAGAAAAACGAAATAAAAATATAATAAAAAATAGGGAAAATTCCTGATTAGTATCCTGTACTTTGGGCCTAGTGTCACTTTGGTCTCCGAATTTTAAAATACAATAATTTAGTATCCAAACTTTTAAAACGTGACAATCCAATACCTGTCGTTAATTAGCTATTAACCAGTCGTTAAGTGACATTTAAAAAAGATACAAATGCCCTTCAAGTGTTATTTAATTTTCTTTATCAACCATCTAAACGTTGACAAAAAATTAACAGTCCCAAATATTTGCCTTTTCCATTCAAGAAAGTTGGGGTGATGTTTGAGTGGACATTCTGGTGACTCCAACTTTCTTGAATAGAAGAGGCAAGGATTTGAGTTTGTTAATTTTTTGTCAATGTTTGGATGGTTGATAAAAAAAATTAGATGACACTCAAAGGGCATTTGTGTTTTTTTTTAAATGCCACTTAACGACTAGTTAAGAATTAGTTAACAACAGGTATCAGATTGTCATGTTTTGAAAGCTTGGGTATTGAATTGTTGCATTTTAAAGTTCAGGGACCAAAGTGGCACTAGGCCCAAAGTATAAGGTATTAATTGAAAATTTTCCGTAGAAAATACAACATATATATATCTTTAACCATCAATTTTTTATAGGTTAATCGAAAACCGAACCAAACCTTCGATTTTTTTAAAAAACAAACTGAAACTGAACCTACCGGTTCGATTAACTGGATTTTTCGAAACGATTTCTTTGGTTCAACTCGATTTTTTAGTTTGTTATGGACACCCCTAGATACCACAAAACAACAATAAAAAATTAATGATACCTGTTCAAAACTTATGCAACAAGAACGTTGAGAGCTTTTCTTGGTAATAGGTTAACTCTCTCCCAAACCCCTAAGCCCCAATCTTGTGTGTAAGGTTGAACGTTGGGATGTGTCCATCCTCGGTGAAGAGGTGGGTCAGCTCCAGACCTTTGAGATATGTGAAGAGAGAGGGAAAGTCAATGTGAATATGGAAGGGAAAGTGAAAATCTTGGGAAGACGGAAATAGAGGAAAGAAAGTGAGAAGAAGAAGAGAGGGAAGAGAGAGAGAGAGTCAGGGGAGCTAAGCTTATCTTCGGTGAAGTTTAGAGAGACAAAACCGAAAGAGAGTACAGAAACTGAGAGAACGAAGAAAGGGAAGAGAAAGTCAGGGGAGGCAAGCTTTTCCTAGGATAAAGTCTAGAGAGAGACCGAAGAGGTCTGTCAAGAGGGTTCGTGATGGGTTGGTGGAGAAAGAGAGAGGACGAGGGGAGAAGAGAGAAAGCCGATGAGGGGAGCCGAGAGAGATAGGAGAGCTGATGAAGGGAAGGATGAGCCGAGAGAGATATGGAGAAAGACACGTGTTGGTAGTTAAAAGCAACACATGCCAATTAGAAAAATCATTTCCACGCATCCCAATCAAGACTGGATCTATTCCTCACACCGATCTCACAGATACATCTCATCATACATTGGGAGCATCTCTACGTTATTCACGGGAGATATTTTCAAGGCAGGGTGAGATATGCATGCGAGGTCGGTGTGAGTAACAGATACCAATTCATCCCAGCCGTTATAAGAATATATTAGGCTAGATTAGATTAAGATATAGATGAGTACGTACACTCTTGTCTGTCTGAAACGGGATTTGCTACTCAGTCCTCGCACATGGGCGCCTCGCAAGTACTTCCATCCACCGTGCATTGAGAATATTTTTCATGAATTATATTAAGTACGGAAGATATTCTCAATGCATGGTAGGATGTGCGTGTGAGGTCGGTGTGAGCGCCCTGAGTGAAGAGCAGATCCGGTCTCTGTCTGTTGTCGTTCCAAACTTCGACGGTGGACCCCGTAGTAGAACCAACTAAATTTCATATTTAGCATCGTGTTTTGGAATAACTTTTCGTTTTACCCCTTTAAAGTAGAGTTTTGGTTTGGATTAGATAACGATCATTAAAAGAGAGAGAGAGAGAGATGGTGGTGGTGGTGGCCGGTCCTCTCTTCGTCTCGTCATCGCCATTGATTTCGAGACGACTGGAACTTGCCTTTCCGACCTCGGTTACATCGTTCAGGCAAGTATCCTACTGCATGTAGTATAATTTTCTTTATCTTAAATTTATAAATAAGAGCATCACTATTTATTTTCCTCATTATGTTACTTGTGTTGATTTTCTTCCTCTGTTTTATCTCAGGAATTCCCGCGGGTTGAGAGTTTCATGCGATTACTCCTGCATCGAAGTAAGTTTCTCATCTTTTTATTTTTTCTTAATTACCATGGTTGCCTTTTGCCTCTTGAGAGAATGCGAGTTCATTGAGATAGGAGGTTTCTGACGAATTATCGGGAAATCCTATTTGATGAAATTCCCAAAAGAAGGTTAGGCTGGACTTTATTGTAGTTAATTAATTGGGTATATAGTTGGAACTACAGATAAGTTGGCACGGTGGAAATAAGAAATGGTTGTACTTTAGTTTTTGTTTTAATTGGTCTGCAGAATTCGTCTCGAAGAAAAAGGAGTAAGCTTTCAACCATGTTTTTTTTTTGCCTTGGACAATAAAAAATTGGTTTGGGAGGCCTGCATACCATCCCAGTTCCTTCTGCCTTTTTGATTTCAACGCAAGGCCTATGGACATGTTCTAAAGCTCAATCTTGAGATTCGTGTCTAGTGGTACAAGGCACATGCGGACATGCCTCACACCATGAGACGCCCTATATCAAGAACATATTTTCACAGATTAACTGGAATAGGCATATCCATAAAAAATTGGAATAGATATCTTTTACAAAACCCAAGTTGAAGTATAATTCCAAAATGTCCATCCATGCATGTCTGGTTTCTTTAAATATGTAGGTCATTAAGAGTTTGTAACAGTTTTGAAGGATTTGCAAGAATGCAGATAGTTTCTTTTAAAGCTTTGATTACCTTATAGTCCTTGTTTATATCATGATTAGTTCCATACTAAATTATAGAACTTCTCTGTGTTTTTGTTCTCATTTTAGTTCATGCTTTCTTTTTTTTTGTCCCTCCTATACAAGAATGGGATATCATTAGTCTTAAGCCTCATGCCTTGAGGCTTATGCATCTCTTGTTGGAAGATCCTAGAACCTTGCTCCACTGCTTCCACCTTTTAAAACATTGCTTAGAGGTTGGACAATTGATGCTCCCTAGTAAGGATAAAGGCGGAGGTGAGGTGGTTGGGTGCTAGAGAGGTGAGGCGGTTGGGTGCTAGAGAGGTGAGGCATAGGCCTCAAATAAGCCTCAAGCTAATAAAGTTAAAAATTATGGGCATAGTTCATAAATAATAAAAAACATAAAAAGAAACAAATAATTGAAATTTTATGTAATTATATGTGACTTATTTTTAATGTGTAATGTTCCAATAACTGTTAATTATGTGTTCAAATCTTTTCAAGATTACTCTATGAAATCTAATTATGAAAATTTACATCCAACTATGTAAATTTAACCAGAATTTGTTCCTATTAGTATAAGTAAGTTCTCCAATTCCCAAATGAATAAAAAAATTACCAATATTTAAGTTAAAATTCCAGTTTCAACTTTCAAGGCTTCAAGCCTAATCAAAGATCAAAACCTGGTTTGAAATCAAAATTTAGAATCCACTTTTCTAAATTCTAAGTTTCTAATGATCATCCGAATTTCATTGGTTTATTCTAGAACAAGTCCCTTGTCACTAAAACCATGGTTAAAAAAAATCCAACTCCATTCATTCTCTTCTTCATGTGACAGTCAAAACAATGCACTAAGAATAACCATAACCATGGTTTTAAATTTTTAATAGAGATTAGTGAACACTAATAACCAATTAACCAAATAACCAATAACAGATTAAGATTTAAGAAATAAGAATAAGAACTTACCTTGGTTGTTGGTCAGTTGATTGTTACATACTTCAGTTTTACTCTGTTTTGTGTTCTGACATGAAAAGAAGATTAGAAATTTAGAAAAATAAAAAACTAGAACGAAGGTTGAAGAAGGAATGGTGGGAAACTCCAAACTCTGTTTTCGGTTTCTAATTTCAAATAGAAACTCAAAAGCGTTACGGTTAAAACCTTATAGTTGGAGTTACCCTATGTGCCAGACCAAGGTAGAAAAACTCACCTTAGTTGCCATTTCAATGGAGGTTGAGCCATTGAGGAGCACTGGAGTGGTTTGTTCTCACTTCTCACTTCTGAACAGTGAAGAAGAGAAGGGGGAAACCCTCAATCTGTTCGATTACTCTAAAGTCCCTAACATTTTTAAACTTTTTACCATATTTATCCCCATTTAAAAATACAATTTACAGCCCCAAACCCAATCTGTTTGAGGCTATACCTTAACTGTTTTATGCCTTGGGGCGAGAGGTGTACGCCTCACCAAAACTGAGGCTACTGCTCTGCAGAATCTTGAAGAGGCTACCAAGGCCAGGCAAATTTTTTCTGCCTCGCCTTAGATGCCTTTTAAAACCATGGTCCAGACTGACTTGGACCATCTGAATTTGGAAAAGAATTATTTGGTGCAACATGTTAATCCATATTTTTAGTGTGAAGCCTTCCAAATTTTGATGTGTGGTATCAAACATGCCAGGTTTGAATTTCAAATAATGTCAAAATAAAATCTAAAATTTGAGTTTATGAACCATTTATGTGTCTATTGATAGTGGGATGGAGGAGACCTTATATTTTCTAAATTAGTCATGATATTGAGATTACACATGGTTAGTTTTTTGTTGATTAATCTTTCAAATAGTAGCAATAATTGTGTAGGTAAAAATAAAATAGGCATGTAAGCATGTGTACTAGTTTGATTTCTGTTTCTTATTTACAGATGACTTTTAATATTCCAGTCAGTTGTTATTTCTATATATGCATTTTCATTTGTATCTTTGTAGTATAAAACTGCAATTAATGAAGCAGTTGATATTTAAGGTTAAAGGCGTTAGTTATCGACCCTCTGGGACCCAGCACAACCTTTTGAATGAAGTTAACTTTTCCCTTCCTGAGAAAAGGTACATGAGAATTTCCGATTTAATAACTAGTTATTTTATCTTTCTGAAGACATGTTTGAGTCCCTGTCAGGTGGACTGCAAGTGATGGTTTACCAGAAGCATTGCTGTAAAATTGGTGCAAACTTGGGACCTAATGTGCTCATCTTTTGTTTTCTTTATTTTGTGACAAGTAATGCGGTATTCTTGAGGATGTCCTTAGTTGCTCAAGTTACCTTGTCAGGTACTCAATAGGGGCATCGGTGATCTGCAATGGTTCTTGGCTGTACAATTTGTGTAGGTTTGGGGCCATTCTATATAATAAGTTCCAGCAGTATACTGAATGACTGTGTCATCGTCATCATTGTTATTGTTGTTAATATTGCTATTATTGGCTAGTTGGCAGTGAAGACCTCTACCACAAAAGGATTGGTACTCCTTGAGCCTCTTATAGATAACTGGAGGAAGAATCAGACCTGAAGACAGGACACTACCCTGATATTGATTAACAATTCCCAGGGGTTTTACCAGCTACATAATTTGGCATCTTAAGTGTGTATACACTGTATAGTTATGTCATCTACAGATTGTCCATACAGTCCAGCTGATGGGTATCTTAGAATTCTTATAATTTAATGTAAATGTCTTGTCGGAAACCTAGTTATTTATGGTGAATTATTTAATTTCCAATTTCTGTAGCTTTGGTTTGATCTTCGGGCGGAGTGGAAGTGGAAAAACTACTCTCTTGCAGGCATGCATCTTCACCTAAATTTCATGTTACAAGTATATCTTGACATTCCTTTTGATTTTCTGGTTGAGTTTATATCTTGTAGCTTCTTGCTGGATTGAACAAACCAACGTCAGGGTCTATTTATATTCAAAGATATGGAAATGATGGCCAACCAACTCAATCCCCTGAATTATTATCTCCAGAAAGAGTTGGTATTGTTTTCCAGTTCCCTGAGAGGTACAAGATATAAAATTCTTGAGAATAATGTTTTCATCTTATTCTTTTTGTCTTCCTTTTCATGTTAAGTCTGCTTATTTTAATTGCATGACATGTTTTATTGTTTGCAATACCTTAGGTAATGTGTATTTGTCCCAGAGATGGGAAACCAAAATACCTGAAAAAAACTTGTCAAGTTTTTCTTAGGAAATGCCTAGACTATCATGCATATCTTTTCTCCCTAAAACTCTCTCTGTCTCTGTCTCCCCCCCAACCTCCTCCCCCAAACAAAGAAAAAAAAAATCAAATCAGGTGTTCAGAGATAGTTGTAGATTTTAGGCTCCATATCCAGTCCACCCCTCGTATCCCTGAGAGCCAGGACCAACATTGGGTAGTGGCCCTTTCACATGTTATTTCTGAAATTTTAGATGATCTCAAAATCCTTACCTTTTTGTTCGTCTGTTTTTTTTTGCATGCACATGTTCGCATATATCAGATATTTAAAAAAGCTGCAAGCAGTCATCATTCTAGTGGAAATTTGGAAATTTGCCGTGTTCTTGCAAATTTTCCTTTTCTACTTGCAGATACACTTTCTCAGCCATTAAGACATTCTGAATCTCATTTTATTTCAATGACAAGCAAAAGTTAACACATTTCAGCACTTGGTACTCCTGGACACAGTTGGTACAAGACACTATGAATAGTGTTTTGAAAACTGGATTAGGCCACACAAATGAACTGGAAAACTGGGAAGGTCAAGATCCTAATTCCCGGTTCTAGGGCAATTTGATGGTCCAGATGGTTGAACTGCCCAAACTGTGAAAACTATGAACTTGATAGCTTTCTGGTTCAACACCTACTCCAGTTTTCAAAATATCGACTGTATAGTTAGCTACTAAATTTTACTAGTATCTTTGTTTTGCAAGATAACGAGGTCAACAAGAAAATATGAGGGACGGGAGTGTAAAAGTAATTTCTAGTCCATTTTGGTGAACTCAATAAAAAGCCAATCCATTGTTTTTAGTAAATTAGGTTTTTCATTTAGCACTTGTGATTTTCTTTGCTCATTATATGTATTTGATATCATAAAATGATCTTGTTTATATTGTGTTCTATTAACATTTTATTCTTGGTTAGAAATATACTTGTTTTTATGATTCCATAACAAGGGGTGGGATTTCCAGATCCATGGTTTTTCAAACCGACCCAGTGACCGAACCAGTTAGGGGTCCGGTTACCGGGTCGACAAAAAAAATAAAAAACGGTCAAAACCGTTTGAACGGTTAACCGCCCGGTTCAGCGGTTTTCTGACCAAAATCAATGGTTTTGGGGGGGAATCCGGTTTTTGGGGAAAACGGAACCGGTCAGCTGACTGGTTCCCGGATTTTCCGGTTCGGTCCGGTTTTGAAAACCATGGCCAGATCTGATTTGTATTGGCAGCCAAACCCCCCAAGGTCAATGTGTATGCTTGTATATTAACATCTTAGGTTGCCTTGTGGAGCAGGGAAGGGTGGTATATGGGGCCTAGCTCTTTTTTCCCCTTTATTGTATTTATGATCTCCTTGTCGCCTTGTATTTATCTCTCTTTTGCTCCATTAATGTGGATATTTGCTTTTGTTCACAGATCCTTGTTTCCTTCTTATCTCAGTTCCTTCTCTCTTCTTTTCATTTTGGAAAAGAAAGAAATTTATTCACGAGAAAAGAATTTACTTCCTTAGATATGAGCACCCTCTAGCATCATCCTGAGTACACCTAAAAAATCCCACTATTATTTGACAATATGTGCTCTTCTTTGCTGTTGAAAAAAGAAATAAATCAAGCTGTGGAATAAGTGCTTTAATCCAGCCACCATCAATAAGCTAAATCCTTTTTTTCACTAAGTTCCAGATAGCAGTTTTTCTACGGATGAGCTGTTTCCAAAATGATCATCTATTCTTAGTTTCTAGCTTAAGCTCAACACAAACTTTTTGTGAAATTATCTTTGTGGTTCTAGCTCTGTTTTAGGAGCATTTCAGATTTCCATGCATATCCATAGAATGTTCTCTAGGTATTCAATCTATTACAATTTTTATGATTAACTAAATAATTGTATGAACTAGGTATTTCTTGGCAGACACTGTACTTGAAGAGGTTACATTTGGATGGCCAAGGCAGAGAGGAGGCCTTCCATTGAAAGAAAAACTTGCCCTGCGACTCCAAACAGCTATCAATTCGGTATTTGGTTCTCATTGATTGTGCCCATTATTTATTGATTCTCATCCCACTATGTCTTCTGTTTCTGCTTAATTTTATTGTTTTAATTGCTGTTTAAATCTTTGACTCCAAATCTACCCCCTTTTTTTCTGAGTAAAATCTTCTGTTTTGCCATTTCCAACATTTATAGGTTGGACTGAACGACATATCCTTAGATGAAGATCCTCTCAATCTAAGTGGTGGTTACAAGCGTCGGCTTGCTCTTGCAATTCAATTAGTAGGAATCTCGTATTAATTCTTATCATTAGCATATATTCTAATAAGCCTATACATCAGAAAAGGGAAAAACCAATCATATGTATGGTATCTTATTGATGTTTATGTAATCTTAGTCATTTATAAAATTGATCCAAAAATGTTTTCCAGGTACAAATCCCAGACCTATTGATATTAGATGAGCCTCTTGCTGGTCTTGGTATGAATTTTCTCTCTCTATTGGTTGGGCCTACAACTTTTATTCACCATGTGAGATGAATATGCGGTTTAGAAACATGAATGAACTTGGGATTTACATTGATGATTCAGCCCTATGGATATGTTGAGTTATCTTGCATTCACTTCCTGAATTAGAGACAAAATCAGTGTGCTCTCACTTCATTAAATGACTTAATGTTTTGTTACCTGTAAAGGCTTCTTTTGTACATGAAGGAAACTTGGCAAACTTTGATCTGTTTTTCATTACAAAATAGAAAAATTCTTTGACAAGCCTGAGTTCAATCATCTTCAGAGCAGTTTAACCACAATCTCTTTTTATAGGCTTTGAATTGTATTTTACTTACTTTAATCCAATAGCTTTTTAACTACGCAACATTTTCCTCTTCCTTCTAGGTAATGGACCATTACCCAAAGATGATCCTGGGTATATATGACCTTGGGAGGGGTAGACTGAATAATACAGACCTACCTTGTCAGCCTAAGGTTTTACGAGTGCACCAAACAATGGAGTCTTTTCTTGTTCCTTTTGGGTGAATGGAACACTTAATCTATTTTTGGAACTTCATTTCAAATCTCAATTATGCACAAAGTTCAAAATATCAGTATCATATATCGTATCAATAGGCTTGGATATGGACACATATCGAAAGATATGGATGCAGTTGGTTTCCTCTTATATACTAAAAATACTAAGGGCCTGTTTGTTTCCTCTTAACTCTTATCTCTTAAGAGGAATCTTTTAACTTTAAGAGAAAAATTGGTGTTCGTTTCCTCTTATCTCTTATTTCATAAAGTGCAATCATACAACTTTTTATTTTTCAATGATACCCCCAAAAAGACAAACAAAAACTCTCATATATGGGGTCAAAATGGATATTCGATAATTTTTCAGAATTCAGAATTCAGAACAACATTCTCTGCATTTAGAGTTCAGAGGAAAGTAAGTTCACCAATACCAATATACCTCTTAATGTAATTATTGCACTTTCAGATGTCAAATTTCAGAGCAAACGAACAAGCCCTAAATCTAAGGCTGAAATAATCATGAATAAGGTATAAATACATAAGAAATTCACACTTTAATGGTTTATATGAAGAGATGCATTACATTCAACAATACTAGGAGTCTATAACGTATAGATATCATACAACAACTTTACTAATAATACATCAAACAGTATTTGAGCTTCTAATCTACTAAAAATTCATTACAAGGCACATTAAATTGTTGTTAGGTCAATGAGTTTAATAGATTATTGATAGATCCATCTTATAGTTCTTCCTTACCATGAAAATCAGTTAAAATATATAAAATAATTATTTTTATAATTTTGAATTTTCCTTAAAAATTAAGAAAAAAATTTATTTTTGACACAAGTTTATTGTTGGATATACGATTTTAATAGATCATTGACATAAACTGTTGTTAGATCATGACCGCCGTCATAACTTTTAGTAGTGGTTATAACCGTTGCCATAGGTCCATTAATACCCAAATAGCATGGAGACCATTCCACCATATGCCACATGCCCATGCCTTCGGATACCAATACAATACACCTTGTATCCGGCATATCGTGTCAATATTTTGAACCTTGGTTATGCCTTACTTGTTAAACCTATTGCCTTAGTACTTGCATCTTAGCTCCTCCTTTATGGCTGCTTTCTCCAAATTGGTGAATTTAATTTCTATGGTAATAATTTCCTTTTTTTATACATTTCATTTAACTTTGATTGTCAGATTGGAAAGCTCGTGCAGATGTTGTGAAGTTATTAAAGCATTTAAAAAAGGAGCTAACTCTGCTCGTTGTCAGTCATGACCTCAAGTAAGTTCAAAAGAACCTTTTTTTTTTCTTTTTTTTGGGTAAAATGATCTTTCAGAACTCTAATTGTACTGTTATTGGTACTTATATGAACTAAGAAACAAATTTAGTTCTGACTATGTACTTGCATTATGTGCAAGTAACCATTTCTTTGTTAACCTTACATGGAACGGGTAAAGGCCATTATCCAATGTTGGTCCCTATTGGAAGGGGTGGACTAGATAAAGACCTTATGTTTGGCAATTTTTACACAGAAGTGTCTGCCCTCAGACGCCAACCTATTTTCTCACACTTCTCATCCATAGATTCAGAACATACCAACATGGTTGAGGTTGAAAGTGCCCCACCTGTTCCTTTCAGTTTCCACCTCAAAACTAATCTGGATGTCCATTTATATGCCTTTTTTTGTTTGATTTCTTTTTTGAGTCATTAAAAATGTAAGATGTGGTAGTATAACGTTGCAGTGCACTTGGGGAATCAATAGAAAATTAGAAATCCTCCTCACCATTGGTTTTACATGGGAATGTTTTAGTAATAATACTATTGGTATTCATGTGTGAGTGTGTGGAGTGAAGAGTCCACATTGGAAAAAGAAAAGAGATGTAATGGACTTATATTACAAGGATTGACCCACAACAATGGTATTAGAGCCGAGTGTTCAGTTGGGTGCAAGTATTGACAGATGCATGTGGTGACTTCCATGGCTTTATCAATTTTCCTATTGTTGAGTAGTTGGCAAGAGCAGTTGATCTCCCATGATGATTCAACCCATGGAATGTGCTCCCATAGTTGATTGGTTGGTGATTCCCATGACTTGGGCCACCCATGGATGATTCTTTGATTGGCACTTAAGAGGCTGAGTGATGGCTCTTTATGGTTATGAGCAAAGGGCTTTTAGTTGGTGCATGTCAAACGTGGTAATATGATAACACTTTTGTTTGAGGGTGAGTATGGGGTATTTAATGTGGAAGAGACTCACACATGAGGGGGAGACTGTTGGGATTCACATGTGAATGTATGGAGTGAAGAGTCTCATTAGAAAAAGAAAAGATATACAATGGACTTGTATATAAGGATTGGCTCACAACCTTGGTCTGACCATGAAATAATGTTAAAATCACTGCAAAGGTGGCAACCAGCTGGTTGGTAAGGTCTCCTGTTGGTTGTAGCGGAGATTTGGGATCAAATCTCGCCTGCACCTGGGTTGGGCCGTTGGAGGGGTTATGGCCTATGGGTTGGGGATGGGCTATCCCCCGTTGTGTAGCCCACTAGCCCTTCAAAAGAAATAAAAAAAAGTGGTGTCCAACTCTTATGTGCAAGTTCTACGCATATGCACAAACTCTTCAGTTTTGGTGACTCCACTCATTACACAATAAACACAACCTCACATCACATGGCACATCTATTAATAGCGTTTAGATTGCATCTGTCATTCTACTTGCACATAATAGGATTAGCATTCGTAGAGATGGAAAAAACAGTGCTAAACATCTGATGGTAATTCTTGCTTCATTTGGCTGTGGACATTTCAGAGAGTTGTCACATTTAGTGGATCGGTCGTGGAAGATGGAAATGGGTGGATTTTTAAAAGAAGAACCGCTACCAGTTTCGTTGCTGTAGTCTGGTATTGCATGCATGTTCAACGTTATGATATCATTAATGGGCTTTGCTGAAAAAAAAAAAAGATTTCTATTTGTGGTGCTGTGTCCTAACTATTTCATAGATTCAAGTTTGACATCACAAAGTGCTAATAGAAAGGAATAGCAATTGTACAGCTATAACCAATCCAAATTCTCCATAACCATTTGTCAACAGCCTTCTTATGGTTCTATTATAGTATTGTCAATTGTGTGGATATAACTGATCAGATCAGGAGACATGACTTTGAGGCTAGTCGGTTTGAACCACTCTAGTTAAATATCCACTTTAATTGGAACTCGTTGAAATAGGACTTGGATTAATACGATTGAAGAATGACTCAAAAATATTTCAGTTGTACACTTTTGGTCACTGAAATTATATTTACAAGTTGGAGCACAAAAGAAACTTCATATTTACTACTAATTTATCATTACAGTGATACACTTAACAGTAGAGGCATTCCTTTTTTCTCTGTGTTTTGTATTGGGATATCAATCAAAAAGCAAGCAGAAAAGAAACGGAGCCCAAGAGAGGGAGGAATCCCAGAGCCACCCTGGCACCTGGTCACACCAGGGCCCAGGGGACAGCCTTACCAACTAATTTGGCTTTGGCCGCTACAATATGGGCATATCATTACAGGATCTAGGAGCCGAAAGAAAAAAGAAAGGAAACAGCAGCAGAAAAACTAGCCGTATGCCAGACATCTTCATCGCTACTCTTGCCTCCGCGGGGCACAGACCAGCCCGCCGCGACAAATGCCTCTATTCCGTTGTTGCTCTCTCAATCTTATATATAACAGAACCATTCACATAAGGTTAACTATAACCACCAACTAGAATCTCGACAAACATAACAGTACTTACTAGGAAAGGATACATATATATTTTTATTTTTTTTAGTTAGGAATTGGAAATGGATAATAACCATCGATTGTTTGATGCATGCGACCGCTCCTCTGCCCTTTACAGCTCCAAGACCAGGTCTAGAATGCCACAAGAAGGGAAATATTATGATAATGCAAATAGAAATTATTCGTAGTCAGACTACCATATTCTCTATGTGTTCTATAAACTTACGGTGGGATGATTAAAATTTCCCGACTCTTTTTTTTTTTTTTGTCTAGGTATGTATTCCACAGGCTAAAGTGTGTCAAAGGGACCTGATTATTCAGATCATGCCTAGTCATCTGTAAGAAAATTGGGTTCAGTGGGCATCAAAATATTGATACCATATGCTCTGTATTGGTCGACCTAGATTCTCATAGATACACCAAGGGATACATGTTTTAAAGCTTTTAAAACTTTGGGATGATAGAAGACATCTCTCTACTGCCTATAAAATAAAAAAAGAAAATAAAAAATATAAGGTATCAGTCATATTGATAGGCACCGATACCGACTTTTGGTATTGGATGTATTGATATTTTGATCCTTGGACAAGATTATTAAAGTTACAAGTTGGATTTTCAGATTTGAACAATTTCAACTGGATTGGGATTGGATTAAGAAACCCATTTAAAATTTAACAATTTCCCAACTCAATCCGACTCAAGTTGCACCCCTGGACAAGACCCTGGGATCCTTATGTGGGTACTAAGAAAAGGGGTAGTTTATCATTACTAAGTTAATTAAGGGCCGCACCCGTTTTATAATAAAAAGGGTGGTATCAAAGGTTATCAGCTTTAATCTAAGCTGTTACATGCTTTGCAATATATGTATTTTATTTTCAAGTTTCATGTTTCATATTGACCAATGTTAGAGAAGGTTTATTTGTACTTACAGTCTGCATCTGTTTTGATCCAATACTCCCTGTTCCCATTGGAATCACTGCCGCTAAGTGCGAATTGTGGTGGGTTTGATTGGCTTTTGTAGCGTCGGATACGCTCCTTGGAGATGGTTCTCTGGGGAAAGATCATGATGTATTCATCTGGAAGCGTATGGTCTCCATTGTTGCATCCTCCATCATTAAGTCCATTACTTTTTATCTCCGTTTTATGTGACTTGCTGGGCTTTTTGGCTGGTAAAGTGCTTTCAGGATGAACTTTCCTGTGGAACATCTGTAGGATCTGTCAAACAAATGAAAAGCAGACAACAGATCAGACCAAATTCAACTTCAACTGAGAAACAATGTGCGACCGACGGTGTCTGTGTTCCCAATGTCGTCTTTTTTTTTTTTTTTTTTTTGATCCAATCCAATCAATGGTGGGTCTCCATTTCACAACACCTGGATTGGACCTGGTGGCAAGATCCCAAATCCCATTATGCTATGTGCAGTTAGGATCCTCGGGTCATGCGAGTTCTTAGTCTGTAGCTATCTTATAATTTGGGTTGGTCCCGTTCTTCTATTCACACTTGAAGAAAGTGCTGGTTGCACTTCTTAGTCGTATTTAGAGGGCTTTCAACCGACTCGAAAGTCCAATGCCCGATTCCGAATCCGATTATCCAGATTTGGATGCTCCAGTCAATAATTGGATCTGAATTTTTACATATATATATATATATATATATATATATGCATGTATGATTAATTTTTTAATTGTTATTGTTATTTTGAATATAATAAGATGGATGCAAATTTAAATCCAAATCCAATTTGAGTCCGATGTATTCATTTTTTGATCTATGTGGATCCACATATTTGATAATTGGACGTTGATATAGTTGAATCAGATCCCATTAGAGCCTACTTATTTATGGTTTGTTCTCTTTAGACATTTTTATTAGTTTTATGAGTGTATTGTCTCAAATCCCACCCGTGCTACAGTAGCATCTGAGTTGTGATTCTTCACCTACTGTACAAATTCATAAAAATCCTTAAGGTAGAGGAATCAATAAAGACCTTTAATTTTTTTCCTGATGAAAGTCAGAAAAAAATGTACAGCAAATCTGAACTCTTATTTGCTCATTTCTTAGAGTGCTCATACTAATCTCACAACACATTTCAATATCTCCTCTAATTGTATGTTATTTTCATGTGGAGATGTTTTCAATACATGGTGTGATGCGCTGTGAGATCAGTATGAGGTGCACTCTGTGAGGAGGACAGAGCGAGACAGGTTATATTTGAATCTAGATGATGAGATCTTCTCCTTATAGAGTGAGTCTCATACCAACCTCACAGCCACCTCCCGCTCTGTATTTGGGAACACCTCCCCATGAATAATAAATACAAATAAGGAAGATGTTCCCGATGTAAGGCCAGAACATGCTGTGAATTGTGAGGCGCGCGTGAGGAGCAGGTCCAGACTCGTTATCCTATACAAAAGGTTATCCTTTACAAAGAAAACACAGCCTAAGAGAGATGAATGATTGGGTCATTTTGGCCGTCGATTGTTTTTAAAGCCTACTTCGGTGAGACCTGACAGGATGACGCGTGTGTACGTAATTGCCTTCCATTTATAGGCGAAGGTCCCATTAGGATCTTCTTATGTCCGCCGTGCAGGGACAAAGAAAGACAGAAGGTCCAGTGAGAGAGAGAGAGAGGGAGAGGAGTACTGAGTACTGACCTTATGGGTTTTCTTCTCCGCTGAAACAGGATCCGCAGGAGCAGCAGCGGCAGAACTCCTAGAAGTAGTACTATTGGGTACCCGTCGCTTAAGCATTTTCTTCATGAGATGAACTCCGGATTTCTCTGCATCCTTTTCAGCTCGCTTCTCATCCTTGTCACATTTCCCAGCTGAGTTGTCGTCCGCCATTTTACTCTTCAGGAACAGCTCCCCAAGAGACATCCTGTGTTCTTTCTTTGCCACCATTGTTGTTTCTGGAAGCTCGATAGGAGAGCCGAAGAGATATTCCTGGAGTGGGCAGATTGCCGTTCCACTGCCAGTATGATCAGTTGCTTCGAGTTGCTTGCCGCTAAGTGTAATGGTACTGACATGACTGCTCCTTCCTGATGAGAGATTGCATCCGTCTTCCTTCGCTTCAGCCACAAGCACCTTCTCTAACTCTTCGTTAATGAGCTTAAGATCGTTCTCGGTTACTTCGGTTTCTTTTTCAGTTATGTTCTCAACCGAGAAGTTAAAGCTGGGCGTTGCTGCTGGGTCAGAGCCAAAGGTTCCAATGGTAAGGAGTCCATCAAAGAGCTCGGACGACGCTGCCGCTGAAGATTCATCTTCGAATTCTCCTTCCACTGATGTTGCTTCGAGTCCAGCAAAAGAGTTCCGTCGAACCCGCTCTTTCTGGTGCTGCCTCAACGTTCGCGAGCTGAAACTTGGCCTAGCAAGGTATTGTTGTTCGTCCTGCAGGGATGATTGGCCTGACAGACAGTTACAGGGGTGACCTGAAAGCAGCAACCCAAAAGGAATATTGTGATGCTGTAGTAAGAGAAAGGGTCCTAGGCGTGTACCAATCACTCTGATCAGTTTTGTTTGTAGGAAGAACACCTGACCTGACCTGATCAGTCAGGTCGACACGATCGAGCAACGTGAACACGTGACCTGATAATTAAGCAACTAACATGCACACATAGTAGCTAGCTAGCTGCTATTAGTCGTCGGGCAGGCATTTCTATTGCGTTAACTATATATGATTTTAATATTGTCTGAGTCTCTCAGAAGGTGAATTGGGTCAGAGTCTCTCTATCTACACATATATGTTGAAGGATATGATTCACATATGTATATTAATTAACACAGTCAGAAGTACTGATCATCGAGCTGATGGATCGATGATTTTAGCTTGAATTGAACTTGCGGGTATGGCGTCGGAATAAACTAAATGATGGAGCATGCATAGGTGTTCATGTAATGATCCAATAACTTCAATAGTTAGCACAAAAATGTAGATGATGAGCAGAGAGGAGACAGGAGAGAAGAGATTACCAATTGTGAAGTCCTTGAGTGGTTCGCCACTATTGTGCCGGAACTTACGGTGCATCCAATCTAGTAACTGTGTGACAAAACAAACAAGGAATCAATAAGGAATTAGAGAAACGAGCACGGTCGTCGTCCTTATTTTTTTTTATTTTATAAAAGGATGGAAGTTTTTTTTTTTTTTTTTTTT